GGCTTTGGCGGCAGTCCAAACCCTCGCGAAACCAGCCCCAACGCCAAATCCACCAGCGACCCCTTCAACTTCGGTCCCTTTCCCTGTGCGTTCTTCAGCATGCATTACACCAGCGTATACTCCAGCCCTTACACCAGCCACTACTCCTGCCTCTACTGACACGCCAACGCCTGCCCCTACCCCAGCACCCACCTATGCCACGCCAACGCCTGCTCCTACCCCAGCAACGCCACAGCCACCAGCGGATCCTTCAACTTCGGTCCCTTTCCCTGCGCGTCCTTCTGCATGCTTTAAACCAGCGAAAACTCCAGCCCTTACACCAGCCACTACTCCTGCCTCTACTGACACGCCAACGCCTGCTCCTACCCCAGCACCCACCTCTGCCACGCCAACGCCTGCTCCTACCCCAGCACTAACCTCTGATCCTTCCTGTCCCCGCATTCGAAAGTCCTGGGATGCACTCACCGCTGCCGAACAAGATACGTTCAAGTCCGCGATAGAGATCGCCACGAATCGTGGCCTGTACCAAAAGTTTGTCCTCATTCACCAAGAGCAAATGAGCAACCGCGAGGCGCACGGCTCATGCGTGTTTCTGTTTTGGCATCGCAAGTATCTCCTCGGGTTTGAAAACATGCTGCGCAGTCTCGGGGACCAATACAAGTGCCTCACCCTTCCGTACTGGGACTACGTCCACAACTACGCGACTATGCAAAACACTACCCAAGCCCAGCGATGCACCTCGATTGAAACCTGCGCCCCCGTCACGACTGGATTGGGGGGCTCCACGCAAGGCTCAACTTCCAGCGCGTCCTTCTTTGGCTACACGTATGCGAACAACCGCTGCGTCAACCAACGTCCTGTGAACCACATGTGCACTAACCCTGTCTCTCTTTCTTGTCCGAAATGCACCCCTCGCGGCAACTGGGCTAACACTGGCATGATTCCAGACATGGGAATTGCCAGCATTCGCCAAAGCGTGCTGGGGGCCTCCGACATCCGAACCGTGTCGCGCAACATTGAAAACTCCCCCCACAACATCCTCCACAACACGCTGGGCGGTCCGATGGCCAACCCCCAGATCTCCCCCATGGACCCCATTTTTTTCTTGCACCACAACACGATCGACTTGCTGCATACCATCTTCTACCACTGCAAAGTCGAGCCGCTCAACTTGAACGACTTGGAGCAGCAAAACGACTTCCGGTCGTTCCAGGGCTGCTCCACCAGGAACGGCGAAACCATCGGGCCGACGTCCTCCCTTCGCATGAGACTGGTCGTTTTAGACCAAGCGATTGAAGTGGCCAACGACCGGCTCGTTGGGTCGTTCTTCAAGGACTTGCCCACGCAGTACTACAAACTCACGGACGCCCGTCAATTGGGCTACTCGTTTGATATTGTGGGATTGCTGGGGGACTTGTACACCACATGCGGAAGCAGTAGAGGCTCAATTCGTCGCCTCAACAGCGATCAAAATGTGAGCCATGCAAACGTGACCATTGACCACGTCGTCGAGCCAGTCGTGCTGGAAGAAGACAAAAACGTGCTGGAGTTCGAAAAAGACGTCCTCGCCCAAGCCGAAATCCAGGGACTGACCACGGACGAAGCGAACTTGGAGTTACAAAAGATGAACTTGTTGCTGCAGGAGAATTGCATGCCGGGGCCCGTCGAGGACTTTACGCCAGAGTTCAAAGCCCAGTGGCACATCACAGAATCGTCCACGTCGTTTGCCCTGTTGCAGGACATCAAAAGTGGGGCCAATCCCGTCCGCATCGAGAACTGGCAAGACATCCTCGCCAAGCACTACCACTGCCGCGGCGATGTCAAGGAAGTTGCTTAAAATGATGACCTAGGAAGGCAATGAGAATAACCTCAATTTGATTTTTGGACGAATGTTTCGCTTGCGATTGCTTAATGATGTAATAATGGTTCTACCCTGCCCACGAACAGTACTAGTAGTACCGATAAGTGCTCCTGAAAAGTCACACACTAACCACTCTCCCTACTAGACTTTTTCGTCAGGCTTTTTGGCCAAAATTTGCTGTCAAAATTGGGGTCTAATCAATATTGAACCACTCGGGAGGTTTGATTGGTTAAATATACTGGTCCTTTCTGCAAGAGCCAATCCAATCCACTCAAAACTCGATTAGCCCATAGATAGATAGATAGATAGTAGCGTCGATT